GTCGTCGTCGTCGTCGTCGGCGTCGTCGTCGTCGTCGTCGTCGTCGTCGTTCGTCGCTCGTCGATCGTCGCTCGTCGCTCGTCGTTGTCGTGCGCGCGGACGCGGCTGGAGCTTGTTTTTTATTTTGGGACGATGACGGCCATCATCTGGGGGGTGGGGGGGTCGATGACGTCACGTTTCGCGCTGGCGGCGTCTGGGAATGCCTAGGAATGGCGGAGGACGGGCACCAGCCTTCAGCATGTACGTGGCGATCGTCGCCACAACGCCTGTGTACACCACAGTGCCTGCGTGCACCACAGCGCCTGTGTACACCACACCGCCTGTGCACACCACAGCAACCGCGTGCAACCCAGCGTCAGTTTGTGCTACCGTACCTGCGGGCACAACAGTTGTGTACACCACAGCGCCTGCGCACACCACATCAGTCGCGCGCAACACAGCACCACTGTACACCACAATGCTTGCGTGCATTGCAGTGCCCGTGTGCACCACTGTGCCTGTGTGCGCCACAGCAACCGTGTGCAACACAGCACCACTGATGTATATAGAGTATTCGAAGGAATCCTTGTGACAAAATGGGACGCTTGTGGATTCCACAAAAATATTAGAAAATATTTTTTCTGGACGAAGGAGCGCCGCTGGAATCTACGAGTCTTCCCGAGTACGCCCGCACCACCCTAATTCCTCCCATGTGCGTCCAGGAGGCTCCAGCTACACTGGCCGTCTGAGAACCAAGTGGGCCGATTCAATAAAGCGTTGTGCGGTCGGTGCACGCTGCCATATGCACGTGCGCTGTAACGCCAATTCGCACGACAGGGGGTAAAGAGGAGGAGGGGGAAGAGGAGGAGGAGGAGGAAAAAGAGGAGGAGGAGGAGGAGGGAGGAGGGAATAACTTCGCATTCGATTATTCGCACTTTCCTGGCGTGGCGTTTAGTTGTCCGCAGCAGATCCTCACATACATGCTCCGTCTACCAGCCCTATGCACGCAGGCACTGTTGTGTAAATTGGCGCTGCGGTGCACGTGGATGTTGTCGTGTAGACAGGCGCTGTGGCGTGCGCGGGCGCTGCGGTGCACGCAAGCATTGTGGTGTGCACAGGCGCTGTGTTGCACATGGTTGTTGCGGTGTGCACATGTACACCGGCGCTGTAGTGTGCGCAAGCTTTGTGGTGTATACAGGCGCTGCGTTGCACACGATTGTTGCGGTGTACGCAGGCGCTGTGGTGTACACGCGCGCTGTGGTGCACGCAACGGTTGTGGTGTACGCAGGCGCACTGGGGCAGATCGCCACGTACATGCTGCTCGCGTCGTCGTCGTCGTCGTCGTCGTCGTCGTCGTCGTCGTCGCTCGTCGCTCGTCGCGTCGTGCGCGCGGGCGCGGCTGTGGTGCCGGAGCCACACGACGGGGGGGGGCGTTACATCATACCCCCCCCGCCCCCCCCCCCCCATGACACCCGTCATTGTCGAACATAAGGAAACGCGTTCTTGACGTGCGTCATCCCTGGCCGCGCGCCCTTCTTGTTCGCCGGACCCATCGTGGAAGAGCTCGGCATGCTCACGGACTACAAGAATAAGAGAGCATGCTGGTGCGGCGACGGCAAATGTTTCCCACTACGCCAACAGCCCCAGAGAGCTACACTACGTCGTGGACATGCTGGAGAGCTACGATACGTGCGTGAAGGACGGGGCCGACCAGACGCTCCTACCGCAGAATATGTTGGGTCATGTTCGCGTGCAGCACCCGATCTGTCCCTGCGTTTTTTTCTTCCTCTCTCTCATCTCCACGATTCGCCAGCTCAAGGGCTCACCTGAAAACCAGGAAGCGGTGAAACAAGGGTGCAACGGAGGACACGCTAAGCAGCGTCACGTGAGGAGGAGGAGGAGGAGGAGGAGGAGGAGGAGGAGGAGGAAGAGGAGGAGGAGGAGGCGGACGAGGAGGAGGAGGAGGAGGAGGAGGAGGAGGAGGAGGAGGAGGAGGAGGAGGGGGGGGATGGGAGATGCGATAACCAATGCAGCTGGAAATGCAGTAACTTTAGACGTGGGTGTCACTCAATGGTGACAGTTGCCAGCGTCGGCGCTTGCGGCTCACGAAAAGGCGGATGGTGTCGTTGCCATCGTTGTTGTCTTCGTCGTCGGCTTCGTCGTCGTCGTCGTCGTCTTCGTCGTCGTCGTTGTCCTTGTCCTCGTCCTCGTCCTCGTCCTCGTCCTCGTCCTTGTCGTCGTCTTCTTCGTCGTTGTTTTCCGCACGGATCGGCGGTTGCTCAAAGGATGGACCCTCCTGGGGGGACTCTAGGTGGTTGGCGTGTAGGAGGGGAATCGGTGGCCTGGCGTAGTTCACATCGCGCTGGCGATTGTTTCAGGGCAGGCTGTGCATCTCAAGTTTTCCAGTCCGCCTCGCCTCTTCCCTCTCTTTTTCCAGTGCGTTCACGTGCTACTGAAGTGTACGTTGGTGCGGCTAGACAGGCTCTGCACGGGACGGCCTTGCCGCGTGGCTTGGCTGGAAGCAGTCGGCAGAAGGAGCAAAGGGCTAGGACCGCGCCTGCGCTGAAATGTGCAGTGAGGGGTGCTGATGTCACCACCACTGCGGGCCCCTCTTGGGGGCCTCCGAGGACTCGCCGGAGATGGTGCAGCTGGAGCTCTGACCCATTCTAGCCGCTGGCGCTCCCAGTGGTGCCCACAGCGCGCACCCTCTTCGCACCCACACGCGTGGCCTTCTCCTTTTCGCTACGAAGGGGACCCAGGATTGGTGCTGCATCCCGAGTTGTCTTTAGACGGCCCTGGGGCCCACGAGCGGACGAACGAAATAAGCCGCGCCTAGACGGCGCATTGGAAATCAGAATGATAACACATGCGATTAAAGAACATGTTGGGCGCAACTGTGCGAGCTTGCGGGCATCGCTGGGCCTCGGATAGCAGTGCGCAGGCATGCTGGTGCAGCGCGAAGTTTGAAGGCAAAACACGGGCCATTGAGGAGAGGAGGGGGAGGGGGGAAGGTGGGGAGGCAAGCTAGGTGCGCTCGCGTCATATCTGACGTCCTACCCCTCCCTCCCATCCCTTACCATGGTGTAGATATCCGCTCTATTCGGACAGTCGGATGTCGAGCAGGGCAATGATCGCGAGAGGGTGCGCGATGCATGGTAGAGCACGGCATGGCATGGCGTAGAAGAGCACGGCAGAGCGTAGCATGCCATGGCATGGCGCGGCATTGCGCAATGAAGCATTACATCACAAAGCATTGCAACTCAAAGCAGGGCATCGCACAGCGGCGCAGAGCACAACACCGCACAGCATGTCATGGCATGGCGCCAGGTTCTTTGGAGGGTAAGTGGATCTTCTTCGAGAGGTCTAGGCCGGTCTGGAGTCGTGGCTCCATGTCTAGCTCCCTGGGCTCCCCGAAGAGCTCCACACAAGGCGGGGCTGATGGAGAGCACCCGCTGGCTCTGCGTTCAACATCGCCTTCTCAAAGCAGAAATCGGGCTGCCGCTTGATCCTTCCTGAAAGCGACGACGCCCCAAAGCGGGGGGCTTCTGCGGCCCAGAAATCAACGACTCGACACCGAATGTGTAATCACTTCCGATTGTTTTTTAGGGGGGGCATTTTCTAGATTTTGGGGCCTATCTGGAAGGAAGGCCAGCGTTGCAGCGGGAGCACGATTCTGAACGAGCGGAAGCGCGGAAATGAGGCCAGCGCTGCAGCGGGAGCACGATTCGGAACGAGCGGAAGCCTCAAAATGAGGCCAGCGCTTCAGCGGGAGCAACATTTCGAGCAAAACCCAAGCGAAAACCCGTTTCCCGGGAATCCTGTGTGTTAAAAACAGAACGCGGAGGGGGGTCGGATATTTCCCGGACGTCATCACGGGAGAGAGGAGAGTAGTATTCAGATTGTCAACTTGTGGACATTGTGGAGGACGAGGAATGGAAGAGTGTGGCAAGCCTGCGCAGTGTTGCGCCACGGCCGAAGGCCACTCAGAAGAATTTGGCAGTATGCTTTTTAGCTTGTCGTGGTCGCCCACTGCTACGGCCAGGGCTTGCGCGTGCAAGCAGGTCATCCATTGTAGTCGAGGTCGCCCTCGTGAGCTTCGGATATTCCATCTCCGCGGTGCCACTTGGTGGGACTGCCAACTTTCGACAACTATTGCTTTAGGGAGGTTCTTCGGAGCGAGTCCATCGAGTCTGTCTCGGTCCACTTTCAGGAGAATGCACGGTTCCAGTCAGTCAGTCGGTTTGGTCGCTTTGCACCAGACGGTGCGCAAGCAAGAGAGCAATTTTGTTACGGTACGGCACAGAAATAACAGGTGCCATGCGCGGACTGCTGACTCCCACGCCGGCGCTGCACCGCCATCCAGTCGGAAGTAGTCAGCAAGACGGGTGCAGCGCGATTTTAGCCGGTACAACATTTAGAGAACACGCATGCCTCCAGTATACATTTTGTAGGGTTTTGTTTGAATTTTTGCGGTTTATAATTAAATGAATTTTGTGAAATATGGCTTTGGCTCTACCAAGTCTTGTCTTCGTGTGAGCTTCGCGTGCGGCTTTCCGTCGACGCTTAACAAACCCCCAGCTAGACCGCGCCATCTTTGCATTGTGTTGATTCGCCAGCCAGTCCAACACCGAGTGCCTTTGCTCGTATTTTGTAATAGTGCTGTTTTCCCACAGTTTGGCTCCAGCACGTATATCTTTCCAACTGCAACCACCCAGTTTTTTGATGAGGTTGGTGCGCGTCAGGATCCCTGGAGACCAGCATGGTGTCGTCTGCGCACAGCACGTCTTCGGTGACCAGGTATGGTTAGGTTTCGCTGTTTGCTTTTTTCCACTGCCAAGCGTGGATTTACAGTTTCCAAAAGGATTTCAAGCAGTTCTCTGCGGCCCGCGGCGGACCGAAAACGTCGAGCAACTTCGGGACTCCCTTTCCTTCAGGACCCGTCCTCTTCGTGCGCACCTCTCATTGCCCCTCGCCCGGTCAGCATCTGCACCGCCGACGGCCCCGCTCACCTCCCCCATCGCAGGCCGAGGCTCGTCTCTGCAGCCCGAGGGGACCCAGCAGCGCCCCCCGCCGCCCAGGGTCCACAGGGCTTCTCGCGAGGCCTCCTCCTCCTCCTTGCTCTTCTCGCCCCCCGCCCGATCAGCATCTGCTCCGCCGCCGGCCCCGCCGCCCCCATCACCGCCAGGCTGCGCGCCAGGCCGCGCGCCAAGACTCGTCTTCTCTGCAGCCGGGGGGGGGGGGCCGCCGCGGGTGGCCCACCGAGACGTCCGCGCCCCCCTCCTGGAGCTGGTGCAACGAGACCAAGCGAGAGTGTTTGTTCCGCTGGATGTGTGTCTGTCCAGCCCTACTAGAGAGCCGCAGTCGGGTCGCTATGTCGAACTGCTTGGCCTGGGCCACGGTGCGCGCTTATGCTGTGTATATGCCTGACACTTTTGTTGGAAAGAGCGCGTTCCCCCCTGGATGGAGGGGGGGGGTTCGAACTCCCCCCCCCTTCCCGTGGCGGAAGGGGAGGGGGTGGGACGGGAGGGGGGGGTGTTTCGAACCCCCCCCCTCTACCTTTCTCCCCTGCTTCCCCTCTCCTCGGGCGGGCGCTTGCGTCGGCGGCGGCTGGCGGCGGCTGGCGGCGGCGGCGGCGGGGACGACGATTTCCTTGTCTGCGCCAGCGCCGGCGCCTGCGGCGGCGGGCGGCGGCGGCGGGGAGCGTCGACGAGGACGACGGTGGTGGTGGTGAGGGTGGGTTGTGGTGGTGGTGGTGGCGGTGGTGGTGGTTGTGGTGGTGGTGGTGTGGTGGTTTGTTGTGGTGGTGGTGGTGGTGGTGGTGGTGTGGTGTGGGTGGTGGGTGGTGTGGTGGTGGGTTTGGTGGTGTTGTGGTGGTGGTCTGTGGTGGTGGTGGTGGTGGTGGTGGGTGGTGGTGGTGTGGTGGTGGTGGTGTGGTGGTGGTGGTGGTGGTGGTGGTAGTGATGGTGGTGGTGGTGGTGGTGGTGGTTTGTGGTGGTGGTGGTGGTGGGATGTGCTGCTGGTAGTGGTGGTGGTTGTGGCGGTGGTGGTGGTGGCGTGGTAGATTGTGGTGGTTGTGGTGTGGTGGTGGAAGTGGTGGTGGGTTTTTGTGATGGTGCTTGTGATGGTGAGTGGTGGTGGTGGTGGTTGTGGTGGTGGTGTTGGCTGTGGTGGTGGTGGTAGTGGTTGTGTAGTGGGTTGGTGATGGTGGAGGTGGTGGGTTGAGGCGGTGGTGGTGGTGGTAGTGGTGGAGGTTGTAGTGGTGGTTATCGTCGCTGCGTCCCCGCCGTCGCCGTCGCCAGCGCCGGCGCTGCTGGCCGCCGCCAGCGCCGGCGCCGGCGCCAGGGTGGGAGGGGGGGGTTTTGAACCCCCTCCCCCCACTCGGCCCCAGGGGGGGGGTTAAACCTTCCCCACCCCCCCTGGGCTGCCTCTGGTCACCGTCGCTGCGTCCACGCCGTCGGCGCTGCTGGCGGCCGCCGGCGCCGGCGCGGGGGGGGGGTGTTCGGGAGTTTTTGGGGGATCGATCGACGGCGCCGAGTGTTGGGGGAAGGGGGCCCACCCCCCGATTCGAAACGCGCCGCCGAATGTCCCCCCCCCCCTCTGGGCTGCCTCTGGTCATCGTCGCCCCGCCGTCGGCGCTGCTGGCGGCTGCCAGCGCCGGCGCTGGCGCCGAGGGGGAGGGGGTTCGGGAGGGGGTTTGGGGGGGAGGGGAGTCCCTGTGGTTTTGATCGACGGCGCCGATTGGGGGGGGCCCACCTCCCGGTTCGAAACGCGCCGCCGAATGTTCCCAAGGCAAGCGCCCGTGCAACGCGTTCTCTGTTTTGTTGCAGTATCAAGTGTTCTTGGTATTTCTGGGTGAGGAAGGACCACTGGACTGATCCGTACATCATATTGAGCTGATCGGTCGATCTTTGACAGGTTTTATGCAAGAGCAGGCGCCAAATGGTGGGAAGGACCTGCCAGGGCCGCGATGAGGCTGACAACAGCAGACGCGCAGTGAGATGGAGGTGGCATGTCACAGCCTCAAGCTCTCCCTGCCCCCCGTCTGGCTCCTTCCCTTCCTCCTGTCCCCCCTGCTGACCAAACAGAGCGGGAGTACCGCATCGACATGTTGCTTTTGAGCTATTCTTGGCTGGCTCGATGCATTGGCTAAGATACCGCTTGGGCGAGGTCCAGGGGCCGATCCTCGAGAGGGCCGACCGTAGGGTGAACACATGCCTGTTCACGAGGGTGCGCGGGTGCGTAGGCACAGAAATCCGATTAGATCTTGCCGAGAGCGAATCCATCCGCGATGCCGTGCTTGTCCACCACCGCGCTTGAGGATGCATAGCCGGGAGGTAACAACAGCATCGCAGGGGCCACGGACTGATTCAACCAGTCCAGGGCCCCGCCACGTGCATTAGGGGTGCGTTCTCGCCACAAACGGGTGGGCGTCCGACCACTGGCGTTTGGGTCGCGTTTGGTATCCACCTGGCGGTGCCAGGTTTGGTGAGCGAGGTTTTGGGGTCCCGTTCGTGAGTCTGAGTGGGTGCAGGCCCACTCGTGCGCCCGATTTCGATTCTCGCTGTGGTGCCGACCAGCTCGCTTCGGTGTGTGCGATCTGTACTTACGTGGCCATTTAGGGGAGGCCTTCGTTACACATGCCGACGCGAGAGGACGCGTTTGCTGGATCTCGCGCTGGGCTCGTTGCCCTTGCGCGCGGAGGTCTGTCCGAACCAAGCTGCGCACACGTCTCAGGCAATGCCGCGGCTTCCCGATGGTTATCCTTGGAACGGCAAAGCGGACCCCTACTCAATGACTCATAGGGGAAGAATTGTCTAGAAGCCACTGTCAATAGTGACCGTTCTAAGCTTTAACCCAAATCGAGAAGGCTTACACATCGAATGAACGAATGTATTGTTCTAGTGTCATGCCGGTCGCTGCTGACGCGCTGATTGATAGCATTCCTCTCCGACGCAAGTCGTGCGTTGATTCGGCATTCCTCCCATGATTTGTGTGGTGGGAAGGAGGCGGAGAGAGAGGGGAGCAGGTGGAGGCTGGGGTGAGTGACTGGGTGACATGCAGAGGCAGAGGCAGAGCTTCCAGGCATCTTCGTCTCAATGACTCTCGGAGCAGTTTCGTGTGCACAGTCGCCGGTTTCGAGTCTCACAGTTTGACAGAGGCTTTTGCATGGGTGACCCTCGCAACAGCAGGTTCAAGTATAATAATGTCCTCGCCTCTTATTTGGCCATCTCACTTCCAGCGGAATTGCATTCTTGTGTTCAGGCGATGGGAGGCAATGGCAGCAAAGAGTCGGAGGACAACAGCGTTGCCGCCTTACATCAATTTCCTAGTAATTTGTATTCTGTATTGGCAGCGACTTTGCAGACCATGCCGATTTTGCCAAATTGTGAGCAGGACAAGAACGAGGATAATCATGGTAAGCAATTTCGATGATGATGGCTGGAGCGAAATTGGTCCAGCGCTGTGAACACTATGCTTCCCGCTGGCTGCTCGGAATCGTGTCGCTCGTCCCAGGCTGAGGTTCTCGACGACCGTCATGTCCAGCGACGGAAGGAGACAGTTAGGCCACACGTTACCAATGAATGCTGACAGCTCCCCATTGTATCTATACCATCCCCCCCTCTCCCTGCCCCTATCTTTCTCTCTCATCTACTCTGCTTCTCTTTGTCTTCAGAGAATTGTGTGTTCCTCCACGTTCGGGTGCCATTAATCAGTCTGGTCAAAGCTTGCAAGTCAAATTTTAACCAATCGCCCTCACTGTCCCTCTGGGCTTGCATTTATCCTGGGCTGGGCTTTCAGTCTGGGCTTGAATTTATTCTCAATAAGCTTCGATTCACAGGCCGCTCTCACAGCCCAGAGCGATGCGTCTGAGCGCTCCGACAGATCGCGCCGCAGAGAAGCCGCGTCAGGACCGGCCGATCGGCGACTTCTCGGTCGAGGTCACCGCTGCAGACGAGGCGGCGTTAGGCCCTTCGCCGTGCGCCTTCTCAAGATGGAGCCGATATGGACGGCGAAGGGTGGATGTGTCCAGGCCTCCCAGATGGGGTCCGAGTTGAGGGGGCCGGAAGATCGCACCGTATCGCCGATGCATCTTCGATGTGGCGCCCGATTTGTTCCACGCGGACGGCGCCGATGCGTCGCCGGCGTCGCCGATGCATTGCCGGTGCACCAGCGATGCACGGGCGATTCGGCGCGATCCTCCGATCCTATTTACTCGGATCCCATGTGGTAGGGTTCCAATTGCGGTAGAGGGGGATCGGGACGGGAGTGGCAGGGGAAAGGGGACGAGGTTGAGTAAGTAGTGGGCGAGGGTAGGAAAGGGTGATGGGAAACATCGAGAGAGGCAGGACAATTGTTGGCAGCAGCTCCTGAGCAGTTTGAGCAGGAAATCAGACGATCTCGCTCGATACACACGCCGAAGTTCAGCACCTTAGGCCCGGGCCCGATCTGGGATTCAGACATGCGTTGCGTGTGTCGGCGATTGCATCTCGACGTGGGCGCGACAGTGTCGGCGGGGGTCTTGCGGGTGGGGTCGAAGCGTTGGAGAGTTGGGATGGCGGAATTTTCGAACACGATGCCGTAAACGTAAGGTCTCTTCTCATGGCGATTTTGTCTAGGGGTTAGCGTTGATAAGGGTCAAGGTGTGTCTGTCCTGTCGGTGCGCGCCCAACCTTGGCTCTATTATTCCAGAGGCATACACCATTCCGCCGAGCCCACAAAGGAGGGAGGAGCGCATGGACGTGTCTAACCGCTGGTACACTTTATATGGTACCTTCTTGTGGTGAGGACGTGGAAGGCGTGGTGGCGAGTTCGTCGCCCTCTCCTCAAACAGGAGCCTGGGTCCCTGGGGAAGACGCCTCATGAGGACGGGGGACACGCACCATCTCAGATGCCACCTCAGAGGTCGGCGGACTTTTGGTCCGTCAGTTGACTGTGGCTTTCAGGTTTTGGCAAGCGTTCTCGGGTCTGTTCGGAAACAGTTTGATGCCTCTTCCCTCCTCCCTCTCCTTCTCTCTCGGGGAGGACATGCCGGGGAATGGAAGAGGAAGAAACGGTGAAGGAAAGACGACGTAGAAAAAGGGCCAGGAGCAGGAGACATAACAATTAATGGCAAGGTGGGGGAGACGGGGGGAGGGGTGTAGGATGATACGGAAGAGCAGCAGCAAGATGAGGAGGATGATGAGGAGGATGAGGAGGACGAGGAGGAGGAGAAGAAGCAGGGGGAGGAGCAGGAGGAGCAGGAGGAGCGGGGCGGAGGCGGAGGCGGCGGCGGTGGAGGAGGATGAGGAGGAGAAGAAGGAGGGATGGTGGATGGAGGGAGGAAAAGGGATGCCGACGGTTGCCATGCAGCTCGCGCGTAGGAGAACGAGAGGACTATTGGTAATGATGAGTGGCATTCTGATTAGGAGGATGTTGGTGGTGTTGGATTATGAGAACGGAGTGAGAATGCAGGACGGAGGAGGCGGAGGAGGAGGCGGAGGAGGAGGAGAAGGAGGAGGATGAGGAGGAGGAGGAGGAGGAGGAGGAGGAGGAGGAGGATGAGAGTCGTCACATGTGACACCCTTCGTTTTCACGTCTCCAGGAGCCCTCATGAGGCTCATTTCAGCCGTCTCGGGGCTGTCCTGATTTTCTGTGGGGCAGTCTTATGGGGTCCTTCGAAGCTTTCTTGTTCCGTCTGGGAGCACTTTTGGGCCGTTTTGCGGCTCTCTAGGGGCCCTCTTGGCTGTCTGGCGGGTCGCTTGCGGCCATCCTGAGGCTTGTTTGCGCCGTCCAGGGGTCATCTTAGACTTTCTTGGGTTCCTCCAGAGGCCCTCTGAGGCCAGCTTGAGGCTCTGTTGGGTCCGTCCTCTGCCCCCCAGGGGCCCTCTTGAGCCGTTTTGAGACTGTCTTCGAGGCGTCTTCGTCTGACTTGAGGCCCTCTTGGGCCGTCGTGGGCCTATCTGGGAGGCCTCTTGTGACATCTTCAGCCGAAGGGGGCTCCCGAAAGGCGAGAATGTGACAACACCTGAACAATATAGTTTATTGCGAAGGCCTGACGGCCGGTGCCGCCGACCCTGTTCGCAATGCGCAGCAAGAGGCACGGGCTGTGGGATGGTTTGGGGGAACGGGGAGAAGGACGAGAAGGTGGGGGAGGGAGGTGTCGTATCTGACCCGGGACTTCCCCGGGACTCCCCCGGGACCCCCCCCGGGACCTCCTCTCCCCCCCCCGTCGGGGAAGGGAAAGGGAAGGGGCTTCCCTTCGACTCAATGACGACGTTGCTCAAGGTCGGTACGGGGGGGGGGCGTCGTATCTGACTCGGGGGGGGGGTCGCTACCCCCGCTACCCCCCCCCCCCTCCCGGCGGGGGAGGGATCAAAGGGAAGGGGCTTCCCTTCGACTCAATTACGAGGTTGCTCAAGGTCGGCTTGGCTGGAGCCCAGGGGAAGAGGAGTCCCAGGGGGGGGCGTCGTATCTGACCCGGGGGGGGGGTCGCTACCCCCCCCCCCCCCGGCGGGGGAGGGATCAAAGGGAAGGGGCTTCCCTTCGACTCAATTACGAGGTTGCTCAAGGTCGGCTTGGCTGGAGCCCAGGGGAAGAGGAGTCCCAGGGGGGGGCGTCGTATCTGACCCGGGGGGGGGGTCGCTACCCCCCCCCCCCTCCCGGCGGGGGAGGGATCAAAGGGAAGGGGCTTCCCTTCGACTCAATTACGAGGTTGCTCAAGGTCGGCTTGGCTGGAGCCCAGGGGAAGAGGAGTCCCAGGGGGGGGCGTCGTATCTGACCCGGGGGGGGGGTCGCTACCCCCCCCCCCCTCCCGGCGGGGGAGGGATCAAAGGGAAGGGGCTTCCCTTCGACTCAATTACGAGGTTGCTCAAGGTCGGCTTGGCTGGAGCCCAGGGGAAGAGGTCTCCCAGGGAAAGGGAAGGACAGAGACGACGAGTACAAAGAATGACGGAGATGACGGCTCGAACGGAAAAGCCCCTCACACACGCCGACAGGGTCGGCGGATTTTCGCCTCCGTGGCCGAGGCCTTGGGGACCGGGGGCGCGTCGAGAGGGGGAGTTGGTGGAGCGGTGCGCTTGCGCTCCCGTCCGCCCGCGCCGAAGCTGCACTCGCTGGGGAGCGGAAGCCCGTGTCGGAGTTCTCGCAGGCTCCGCGCTGGGCGGGCCCGCCCCACAGCACGTCGGGCACTCCTCGTATCGCTCTTCGATCTGCTTCCCGAGGGTAGCGTCCAGTAAATGCCTGAGCCCGGCACCCTCCCCGGACAAGAGTGAGGGGGCGCCCGCGCTGCCCTTCCGGCCACGGGTTTCGAGTGCCGGTGTAGAAGCCCGCCGCGGGAGCCGATCTTTCCCAAACGATGATCCCACCGTGGCGCCGATCTGTTTGCAAAACCGTGTCAGTGGGCCGTGGGGCTGTACGAGGCTCGAGCGCCAAATTATACACGCCCGTCGTGGGCGGTGTTCATCCGACACAAGATCGCACCGCAGGCGGCTCGGTTGGTTGCAAGGCAATGTGGGTGAGTCGCGGCGTGGGTTCGCGGGTGAGTCGTGGACGGGTCAAGGCAATGATCATGATTTCAGTCACGCACGGTGTAAGACCGCTCGGCCGCATCACTCTGATCTTGACGGAGTTGTGCGCTCTGGAGGCCTCATGAGCTGCGCCCTTGTGGCTCCAGATCTTCAAAAACCCACCCAGGCTCGTTGAGATTTCTTCGTGGGTCCCTCAGATCTTTCCAGCCCGCGCAAAACTGCTCCATGAAATTCTTGCTCCCACCCTGGCCCAAACACAATCCTACCGATCCCAGCTCGTCCCGAGGAGGAGGATGAGAAGGATGAGGAGAACGACGACAATTTTGAGACTCCGTATGCAATCTGCAGACAGCGATGCGCGCCAACGGCCATATTTTGACGATCAAGTCCCGTCTGTTGCCATACGTATGATTAGAATTAGGAAAGTGTGAAGGAAGGAAGCGGCGGAAATAAGGATGCATAGGATGACGCAATGCTGTCCAACGGAGGGATGATGGTTCTGGTGATGGTAGTGATGACGATGACGACGCCGGTGGCGATGATGACGACGATACTGATGATGAGGATGAGGATGAGGACGAGGATAAGGATGAGGATGATGAGGATGCTGATGATGATGCTGATGATGATGACGATGAGGGTGAGGACTAGGATGGAGATGATGATGATGATGATGATGATGATGATGATGATGATGATGATGATGATGATGATGATGATGATGATGGGGGTGATGATGATGCTGATGATGATGATGACGATACTGATGATGCTGATGATATGGTGATGATGATGATGTTGCGGAGGATGAATGTGAGGATGATGACGATGACCGGTAACGAAGTTGACGACGACGACGATTATGATGATCATGATGGTGATGGTGATGGTGATGGTGATGGTGATGATGATGATAATGATGATGATGCTGATGATGATGATGATGATGATGATGATGATGATGATGATGATGATGATGATGATGATATGGTGACGATGCTGGTGTTGGTTATGGTGGTGATTATGATGATGATGACGATGTGGTCATGTGGTGATAATGATTATTTTGATAATGGTGATGATGCTGATGGTTACATGGTGATTCCTATTATGATGAAATGGTGACGATATGGTGTTTTTGATGATATGATGATATGGTGTTGGTGGTTGTGATGATGGTGATGATGTTGATGACGATGCTCATACTGATGTTGCCGATGAGAATGACGATGATGATGATGATGATGATGATGATGATGATGGTGGTGGTGGTGGTGGTGGTGGCGATGATGGTGATGGTGATGATGATGATGATGATTGCTGCTTCTGATTATATTGATGATGGGTGATGATGATGAGGATACTGATGATGCCGACCATCATTATGATGTTGATTATGATGATGGTGATGCTGATGATGATGATGATGCTGATGATCTGATAATGTTCAAACATATGATGCTGACGATGATGATAATGATGATGCTGATGCTGCTGAAACTGATGATGATGGTTCCAAGGATGATGGTGACGATGACGATGACGATGACGATGACGATGATGATGATGATGATGATGATGATGATGATGATGATGATCGTGATGATGATGGTGCTGCCGATCATGGTGCTCATGCAAATGATGATCATGACGACGATGCAGTTGATGCTGATGAGTGTGATGATGATGTTGATGGAGATGCTCATGATGCTGATCATGACGATTATGATGATGCTGATGATGATGATGATGGTGATGATGATTGTGATGGTGATGATGACGCAGATGATGATGATGATGATGATGATGATGATGATGATGATGGTGGTGCTGGCGGTGCTGGTGGTGGTGGTGGTGCTAGGGATGCTGATGATGCTGATGATGATGATGATGATGCTGGTGATGGTGGTGAAGATGATGATGATGATGATGATGATGATGATGATGATGATGATGGTGCTGATGCTGATGCTGATGATGATGCTGATACTGATGATGATGCTGGTGGTGGTGGTGGTGCTGGTGGTGATGATGGTGATGATGATGCTGATGGTGATGATGATGATGATGATGATGATGATGATGATGATGATGATGATCATGATGATGATGGTGCTGTCGATCATGGTGCTTATGCAAATGATGATCATGACGACGATGCAGTTGATGCTGATGATTATGATGATGATGTTGATGAAGATGCTCATGATGCTGATCATGACGATCATGATGATGCTGATGATGATGATGATGATGATTGTGATGGTGATGATGACGCAGATGATATTGATGATGATGATGATGATGATGATGATGATGATGATGATGGTGGTGCTGGCGGTGCTGGTGGTGGTGGTGGTGCTATGGATGCTGATGATGCTGATGATGATGATGCTGGTGATGGTGGTGAAGATGATGACGATGATGATGATGATGATGATGATGATGATGATGATGATGATGGTGATGATTGCTGCTGCGGCTGCCGCTGCTGATGAGGATGATGATGATGATGATGATGATGATGATGGGTGATGATGATGAGGATGCTGCTCATGACGGTAATGTTGACGACGATGAGGATGATGATCATGATGATGGTGGTGGTGGTGGTGATAAAGATGGTGGTGGTGGTGATGATGATGATGATGATTGCTGCTGCTGATGATGATGACGATGGGTGATGATGATGATGATGTGGATGCTGATTCTGATGATGATGCTTCTGCTGCTGCTGATGATGATGATTGTGATGGTGATGGTGATGATGATGCTGCTGATGATGATGGCGATGATGGTGGTGGTGGTGATGATGGTAGTAATGCTGCTGCTGCTGATGCTGCTGCTGCTGCTGCTGATGATGATGATGATGATGATGATGATGATGATGATGATGATGAGGACGCCGCCAAATAATACATATTCACCATCATGCTGCTGCGATATCTGCTGCTGCTGCTCCGTTGCGCTTCCCTTTGCGTGGAACTCTCGGACAGCCAGAGGTGCCCAGAAACACACTGAAACCTGCGCCGCCATTTCTTGAGAACTGGCGCCGCGAGGCCAGCCCCAAGCGACGAAAGAACGCCCTCACCTTCCGTCGCCCTTTCGTCCCTTCCCCCCCTTGTCCTCCCCTTCCCTCTCTCCTCCCTCCTTTCTCTCTACTTCCTTCTGCCTATCTCCTCCCTGCTCCCCCCCTTCTCGGTTGGCCCTCCTCGCCTCGAGCACGCGGCGCCTGGAGTGGGGAGGGGGGGAGAGGGATGCGGATCGAGGTTCGTTTTGCTCAGATGGGGTGTTTGTGGAGGCATGTTCGGGCCTCTGGGACAGGCCTCCGAGGTGGTCCTTCGAAGGCCTCCGTGAGACCTCTGTGGAAACCTTGGGGGAGGACGGGGTGAGACCTTTGGGAGACCTCTGGGGAGACCTCTGGGGGGACCTCTGGGAGACCTCTGGGGAGACCTCCGTGAGGCCTCCATGAGACCTCTGGGGGGACCTTTGGGGAGACCTCTGGGAAACCTTTGGGGAGGAGGGGGAAAGGGGAAGGAACGGTGGCCGTTTCCGTCACCGTTGCTGCCGCCATGGCTGCGGCGGTGGCCGCCGTCGCCGCCGCTGCCAACACGGCTTGGAGCATATCGATCCTCGGTCGTCGTCGGCACCGTTGCTGTCGCCGCCGTTCCGATTCTCCTCGGCCCTCGTAGCGGCGGCGGCCGTGGCTGCGGGGTCTCGCCTTGTGCTGCTCGGTGCGGCTCCAGGTCGACGGGCCGTCGCAGGCAAAGGACACCAGCTCCATCAAGCCGCGGGTGCCCTGGGGCAGGGCACGCGGCGGCAGGGGGAGTGGGAGAACGGGAGGAAGTCCAGATCCCCTCGCGTCGCGAAGCAGATCATGACGGACGGTTTTGGGGCCATTTTCGGCCACTGGCGGCGCTTTCTGGGCCCAGGGGCCCTCAAAGACGATCCAGCACAAAGGGGCGGAGATATCTGAGGGTCCACGCTGTGACAAAATCGAGACGTCGGTTCTTTGAGGAGAACGAAGGGGAGGGATGAACTGCGGAAGGGAGATACGAGGGCTGTGCATGCAGGTTGCGCACGCGGACTGGCAGGCTGCGCATGCAATCTGGCTCAAGCACCCCTGTTCATGCGTAGCCTTTCATGGGCGGCCGACTATATGCAGCCCCCATGTGCAGTGGAATGAGGCGGAGTAGAGCGAAGTAGAGCAGAGCGGAGGAGGGAGGGGCAGCATGGAGTGGAGTAGAGAACAACTGGGTGAGTAGAGTTTTCGCGACTGCCGCTATAATATAGTGGAGCAGAGTACATCACATGTATATATACATATGTATGAAGGTACACGTGCATGTTTATGCATGCATCTATCTATCTATCTGTCTGTCTGTCTGGCTGTCTATCTATCTATCTATCTATCTATCTATCTATCTATCTATCTGTAGATATTCGCGTGCATGGGACCTTCTTAGAGCTAGGGTTCGCTGTCGCCGCCCTGGCTATTGGGCAGGTGCTCCGAGCGCGGGTCCGCCTCCGGAGGGCGCCCACCACAGCCCACGCTGCCTTGCGGGGCCGCAGCGCATGCAGCGGGAGCGCACCTCGCGAGGATCGAGCGGCGCTCCCAACTCCACCATCCTGTCGCGCCTGCCCGTTCGGTACGGGGAGCTCGTCGGAAGGCTCCGCGGCGGAGAGCCGTCTGCCGCCAGCTGGCGTCGAGGCGCGGGGTGGGGGTCACGAGAAGCCTCGGGGATGGCCTCGGGGCGGCCCCTGAGCGCGAGGGCGGCGCAGCGCGTGGAGATGTCAGAGCCAGACGCCGTCCAAGTCCCCGCCCTCAGGCGCTGGGCTGCGTTGAGGGCTGCGAGGTCCCTCCCGAGGAGGCCGTCGAGCTGGCAGAGGTGGACGAGGGCCTCGAGGTGCCCGGCGCGCTGTGCCTCATCGGACGGGTGCGACGACGACGCGCTGCAGTGCACGTGCACGTGGCAACTTGCTGAAGTGCGTCGGCGAGATAGTTGGGCTGCGTCGGAGACCACCTGTTCAGTAGTGACTCGTACTGGGGCTGGTGGACGAGCAATTCTTGCAGGCGAGGTGGTGTCTGGAAGAAGGTGCTGCTGCAACAGTTGTGCTCGGATTCTGGCGTCTGCCAAGAGTGCGCACGTGATCCCTCCCGCAGTGACGGCTATCCGCGTGGGCGCGTTCCGCGCGGTGGCCGTCGACGAATTGGCAGACCTCCATCGAGAGCAGATGATGTCGGACCCCTCGATCTCGTGGCTAGCCGACATGCTGGTTGATCTCGCGGCGGACCTGGCTGGGGCCCGCTCGTCCGCCGCAGGAGCGGCCGCAACAGAGTGCGGCTTCGAGGTAGCTCGCGATGCCGCGCCTGCCGGGTCTCGCCCAAATCTCAGCCCCCACAGGTACAAAACCATAGTCCTACGACAGGGTTCGCCCAAAGTTGGGAGAACGACACATGGTACCGTCGCCATCCGACTTCGACCCAGAGGGGCGCCGTGACCGGCAATTCTTTCTAGGTATCACCCAGAACGTTATCCCAGATGCTGTCCGAATTGCGCCGTCCAAAGCTCATTCGACACATCCAATTGCGAACCTTGGGAAGCCCAATGCGTCGCGCGGGAACTGAAGTTGCGGCTCGCAAAACCATTTTTTGCCTGTGTTTTTTTTGCAGTGTTTTGGGAATGGTTCGGGCCAGCCCTGCTTGTCGTTTTGGGCAGGTTTTGGGTTCTCGAGGTTGGTATGTGGGCGCGTGGGGACTGACGATTCGGCGTCCCGCGCAGCCGATTGCAGCCTCTGTGCGTGTCAGCGACAAGGTTTGCCAAGCTGCGCGAGGAGAAACGCCAGCCTGCTGGCGTCGCCCTGGAGACCGCTCCGCCCAAGCGTGGTTCCAGAGCATGTGGAATTCGCCGATTTTCCAGGCATCGGCAATAGCCAGTCGCGGAAGCTCAGTGATCGCCGGGAGAGTGGCGAAGTGCGGGAAGACGTCCCGTGCGCCGGCCCGCGGCTGCAGGAGGCTCGGCCGTGGACCACTTGACGCAGACTGTCGATGCACAAGGTGGCCGCGGAGCTGGGAGCAACGCCGGCGTTGACGCCGCGGCCTCGGGCTCGAGCTCGGTGCCCCGCGACCTCGAGGGCAACGTGGCGCAATTCAGGTATGCCGCCGCTCGGTCACCAGATGCCCTCGCTGAGGCGGAACTTGAGTCGCTGAAGCGTTTCCTGCCGACGCGCGCGGGCGGTCGCGAGGGCGTGCTTCCGTTCTCACGCAACGGTAAGCGTGACCAGCGAAGGGGGGCGGGGTCCAACAGGCGGGCGGAGCAGGTCACCGCCGCCACCGTGTCTTTCATCGTGTCGTCGAGCTTGGTCGGCGTGGCGTGCGTGGCGGGTACCCTGCGCAGGTGCGTCGGTCCGCAGGTGAATGCTCGTGTTGGCGTCGCGAACGCTTGCAGTAAGCAGAGACTAGAAGGTCTTTCCCTCCCCTCCTTCTCTCCCTTCGCCCGCTACCAGGAGATCACGGAGGAGGGGGTTGGAGGAGGAGGAGGGACAGGAAACATGGGCAGGGGGAGCGAGGTCCAGCGGACCTAGTAAAATTATAGTCGATTATCGCTCGGCGTTGTTGGTCTGGCCCAGCGGGAGTTTTCAGGGTAGGCTATTGACAGACTTGGAGGTTGTGGAAGCTGCGAGAGCATCCTTGGAAACTGTCAGCATTTTGGTGGCTGGATTTCACGCGCAACTAAAATTTCGCAATGGGTCGTTGTACATCGGTCTAGGAAACAGGATGGGATGGTGGGGAGGGAAGAGAGGGGGGGATCGCGCCTCGCCCCTCCCCGCGCAGCCCATTGTGTTCCAGACGGGTGGCATCTACAGGGGTGCCATGCTGATGGAAGAGATGCACGGACAGGGCGAGATGGAGTGGCCCAACAAGGCCCGTGGGTCGGCGGGCGGGTCGCCCCTTGGTGAGCAGATTCTCAGACAGGACCTTCTGCGTCGATCGACCAATGCGAAGGCATTTCAGGGGAAGTGCAGGGGCTTAAGCTGAGTATATAGTTGGAGCGGAGTCTGAATCAGAAGCTAAGCTAAGCTGAATGCCTGCTCCATGATCTCAGCTGAACCAACACCACCTGAGCCACACATGGGAAGTTCAGTAAAGCTTTGCTTTAGCAGGCTTGGAGTAGCCTCGGCAAGGTATATCCAACCAGCGTTTCGCGCCACTCAGGGTATGTGGGGCTCGTCGGGGCTGGTCCTGGGTTTGTGAGAGCCAGTTTCGGCAACCTGTGCTGACGCCTATCCAAGGCAAGTAGGGCCCGTGGGGTGAGGCGAGGGCACGTAGGGGTTAGCTCTGGCAACGGCCGTTTGCGCCGCCCATGGCAAGTAGGGCTTGTCTGCGGCTGCTCGGGGGCTCTAGTTCGGGCGGGCACTGGCTTCTCCGCCACCCGGTGATCGTGGGGCTGGTGGAGCCAGGCAGGGGCTAGCTAGCGGGGGCTTGTTGAAGGTAGTTGAGGCTATTGGTGTTTTGCTTCGGTCCTAGTAAGTGGGGCCTGCCATGGGCTAATCGGGGGCTGGTAGAAGTGCTTTTGCGCCACCCGGTAGCTGGGACCAGTGAGGCTAGTCAAGAGCTAATTGTGGCATTCGGCGTTTGCGCCATTTGGGGCTAGTGGGGCCAGCGGGGGCCAGGGGCTAGTGGGGCCAGCGGGGGTAGCGACAGCTGCTAGCGCTGGCGGCCAACAGAGCGAGCGGAGCTATGGGGTGGAGAGCGCTACAGGTTGCGATATCCGCATCGGATTTTGTCTACGACGAATTACAAACGCTGTTGGTGACATGTGTTTTAGTAATGCCAGGTATACAGCTGTCTTAATCCTGGCAGTATCGGGCACCTTCGGTATGTTGTGCCCTACTAGCACAGGCATCGCTGTAATGGCTAACGGCGCATAGTATCTGCAGTCCAGGGGGGCACGCACGACTTTTGATGAAGGCCTGTCTGCTCCGTTTCTCACAATTGCGGGATGATGCAGGTGACCTGCAACAGCCGAGCAGCTATGCTTGCCACTCTGGTAATGTATTGTTCAGTATCTGACCCCGTTGTGTCTCTGTGTGTGTGTGTGTCTGTGCTGCTGCCTAGCTTGTCTAATTCCAAAGTTTTACAAAGTTGGGGCCACAAGGCAGAAACATGCTTTATTGGGAAGCACAGCATGGCTGCACTGTAGCGTACAAAGGAAAGTGGGCAGGGTGCATCACACGATCGTGCATGTAAGGGGTACCGTACAATCTGTAGTCACAGAGTTTACACGTAGATTGTAGCTCAGAAGACGGAATCGTGCTCAACATGGTGCATCAGTTGCCCGTAACCATGTGGTCTCAAGTGTATTGGCTCCATAGCTGTTGCATACCTAACCCTGACCCTCTGCCGTGGATCATCTGCGTCCACTTTCGCGCTGCGCGCAACCTACGCAGATGTCGGTGCGAACGATGTTCATCACGGTGCCCGTGCTGCAGAAGGCCACGGTTCTCATGGGTGTTTCGTCTGTTCTCTCAGGGCGGCCCCACGGCTGCTGCCATGAAGATGTTGGACGTTCACAGGCTGGATGATAGGACCAGTGAACGTTCGAGGGCAGTGGTTGAAGCAATGCGCCACCAACCAACGACTCTGGCTTATCAACACATTCTTTTACAAACAGAACGACAAGTTGATCACATACACCTCGCCTCAGAAAGTTGACAGGCAAATAGATGACCTGTTCGTGAACAAAAATATGTGGAGAGTGGTGCAGGACTGCGAGTCTACCACCGACATTGACATGCATTCTGATCATCGTGCCTTGTGGTAGTCATGCGTAGTGAGAACCGTCCACAAGCAGCGAACGTCGAGCAGCACGCGACAACAACACCACGCACGGCCAACATGGCCTCCTAAAAACACGACCCAGTACCAGCAAGCACTTTGTGAGAAGCTAGGCGCACTACTGACTCCGACACGACTACAACTACAATGTGATCATATCGAACAGTCAATCAAAGATGTATTGTTGCAGTTGCAACCTCTGAGCACAACCCGCCACCGCATCAACCGCCCAACTAATGACACACTAACGCAACTACCCCAACATAGACGAGACGCACCGACCCATGACACAAGCACACGGAACAGGCTCAACAAACATATCCGAAAAGAAATCCGTTGCATCAAACGGGCAGCTCGCAGGGCCACAATCGAGCGCATCCTGTCATAATACAGCGGAGCAAACAGTACCCCAAAACGAACATTCATCACGAGCATGACGGACAACCTCGGCGAAACACAGCACTATCGACAAACGATAGCCGACATATTCGCGACGTTCTACGAGGAGTTGTACAACGATGCCGGCCGCAGAGACAACGCCAGCAACGACAGCCCTGAACACGACGCACAAAGGACGCCATCCAACCGTTTACACGGGACGAGCTGGAGACAGCTCTGCACCGGCTGCGGTCAAACAGAGCTGCTGACATCTCTGGAATATCAGCCGACATGTTACAAACTGGAGGGTATGCATTGCAGTCTGTCCTTTTCGACATGTGCAACAACATTTTGCTTCCTGACTCACCGACGCCGAAGAGTTGGCGGCACACTGCATTCAAGGTGCTGCACAAAAGCGAAGACCCGCAGCAACCCCAAACTTACAGACCAATTGCTAGTATACCCATGCTATACAAGCTCTTCTCGCGACTTTTATTCAACCAGCTGCATCCACTATTAGACAGCCAGCAAAGCGTCGACCAGGCTGGCTTCCGCCCCCACCGCAGCACCACCGACCACTTCTTCACGACGTCACTGCTATAAGAAATTGTGGATGAATGGCAACTCCCCATATTGTCGGCGGCAGTGGACTTCAAAAGGGATTTGACAGCATCACGCACGCCAGTATATGGGAGTCGCTTGCGGAGCAACACACGCCCACACCATACATCCACTTACTTTTGAAACTCTACCAGGACCAGACAGGCTCAGTCCACGCTACGAGGGCCATGGCCTCAAACTCCAACTACCCGCGAATGAACGACTCACCAATCTCCGCTTCGCGGATGACATCCTTTTGCTTGTTGGGTCACTGAACCACCTGACCTATATGTTTACCGACTCATCACCGAAGCACGCAGAGCAGGCCTAGAGCTGCATCCTGAAAAGACTAAGATCTTGCATAATGGCCACATATCACCACGTAGCACGCGCCCACCCGACAGCGTGCATGTGCTGGCATGAAGATCGAGGTGTTACCGCCATACCGTAGCACGAAGTACTTAGGGCAGCTGCTACAGCACCCGGCGCCCCACGCGACGGAAATCGAACATTGCATTTCCACAGCATGGCGAAAGTTTCACACGTTGAAGCATGAGCTTACTGGACCAACTTATTCACAATCAGACCGGCTTCGCCTCTTTCACGGAACCGTCACGCCGATCATTTTGTATGGTTGCGAAGCTTGGACGTTGGCGACCGAATGAGCACGCCGACTTCAGCGAACATAACGACACATGCTTCGCATGATTGTGCGAATACCACGGCGCACATCCACAAACGTGGCACAGGTATCGCATGCACCGCCCGAGCATCAGACTAGTGACGAGTCCGACCTTAACCACCAGACCTCCGACGTTGACGACGGGCGTGACGTCGACAGCATGCCGCCAGAGCCCGCGACGAGTACGCATGATGATGGCGATGACGATGTGAACGCCACTGACTTGGAGCCGTGGGTTGAGTGGATCAAAAGGGCTACATGTGCAGCTGGCGCAGCAATGTCACGACTGCGGACCAACGACTGGGTCTATACAGTGCAGCAGGGGAGATGGCAATGGGTACGGAAGGTGAGTAGAGCAGGAGAGCACGAATGGATTCGTCAGGTAATTCTTTGGACGCCACAACATGACCCCGCATACCACGCGAGACGGAGGACGGGGCGATCCCAAACCAGATGGATCGATGACATTAAAAGGCATGCCGGAGATACGACGGGGTGTGACGACATGGGCATCGCAGCTGTCCGCGATGCCGCGTCGACGGATTATTGGCAAGACATAGGGTCGCACTTTCGGTTGCATCTCTCCGACTCCAGCCTTGTTCCGACTCTGGCTCGCACCTCTCCGACTCCAGCCCCCTAGCCATTGTCATTTTCCCGGCTCTTTCCGACTCCGGCTCCGTTGCCGTCTCCGACTCTTTCCGGCCCCCGCTCTTGCCGCTCCGACTCCGGCTGTTTCTGAGCGGCCAACCCTCATCGGAAACCAATGCACGAACGGCTGGCGTGCAGACGGGCATCTTGGCGCAATCAATGCGCGAACGGCTGGCGTGCAGTTGGGCAGCCCGGTGCGCTCAACGCACGATCGGCTGGCGTGCGCGTGGGCATCTTGGAGCAGTCAATACACGGAGCCCTTTGGGGCCTCCTGATGGCCCGCGAAAGCCCAAGATGGTTCCCAAGACTGCCCAAACGGCTTCGCGAAAACCGCATTTGCCACAGCATGGCGAAAGTTTCGCATGTTTCACATGTTGAAGCGAGAGCTTACTGGACCAACTCATTCACATTCAGACCGGCTTCGCCTCTTTCACGGAACCGTCGCGCCGACTATTTTGAATGGTTGGACGTTGGCGACCGAATTATCGCGCCGACTCCAGCGAACACAACGACAAATGCTTCGCATGATTGTGCAAATGCCACGGCGCACCTCCGCAAACGTGGCACAGGTATCGCAGACACCACCCGAGCATCGCACTACTGACGAGTCCGACTTTAACCGCCAGACCTCCGACGATGACGACGGGCGTGGCGTCGACAGCATGCCGCCAGAGTCCGCGACCAGTATGCATGATGATGACGATGGCGATGCGAACGCCACTGAATTGGAGCCGTGAGTTGGTTGGGTCAAGAGGGCCACGCGTGCAGCTGAAGCAGC